GCAAACATATGCAAATGCAGGCAAACACTCATACACACAAAAATGTAAACAAACACCTAATTTTTAAATCATCTAATTTAAAGATCAAATTTCCTCCAGGGCCATTGCTTCTGAATGTCTCAAAGCAGTCCAAACTGCCCTCACTTGCCCAGGTCATCATGACCGGGAACCCTGCAAAATGAACACCACTCATAGCTGTCTTTATTTGGGCAGAGTTAGTGCAAATCAGAAGTTACCAAGTGCAACTGAATTCTAGAGCAGGAAAAACATTTCTGAGCAACCTGGTGACATTTGAGGAGAGCCTATAGCTTAGTTCATACAGCAGTGGGTGTTGCATCATAGTTTTGCTGTGTAGCTCAGGGTTTGCAAGACACTGACATGGAGAAAAGCTGGGTGGAAGTCTGTACTATCTTTGTAACTCTACTGTAATTATTTCCAAATAAAAAGCTTCACAGTATAATAGCAACAGAGAACGAAGAGTTTGTAATCAATGCTGCAAAAATCATTTGCCAACGGGTTGCACTCAGTATTTTCGGGTGTAAAGTTTTATATTGTTGTCTCTTGATACTTTATCAATAAATACCAATTATGGGGGACATAAGGCTAGGGAAAATTCCAATTTCCTGTCTGCATTTACTTATATATTATTAATTAATTAACTTATTTATTTTCCTCAGGGTTCCATCTGGACCCCACAAAATGTCATCACTAGAATTAACACTGAAGGATGACAGACAACCTCTAACCTAAGAGCCATACATTCTACTAGACACCCCTGCTGCTTCAGGGAAACCCCTTAACTTGTGCCTGAGTGTGATCTGCTCTGGGTTGGTGATTCCTGTGTCCAGAAGCTTTCCCCCTGCCTCTCCATGCCAAGTGACAACTAACACAGAGTGGCTGTCTTCTTGTAGCCACTTTGCAGGTCTGAATCTCCCTTGATTTGAATTGGGTAATTGGCAGATTCATGTACTTAAAAGTTGCCTCAGTGTGTGTGTGTGTGTGTGTGTGTGTGTGTGTGTGTGTGTGTATAAAACAGTACAGTATGTACACATATATACAAACACCTTGGGGCACACATGCCCAATGTGAACAGTTATTAAAATGTTTCATGTTGAGATGAGGCTGTTATTGTACTTGTCTAGCATGCACAAGGTCATGAATTTGATTGATTTGCAGCAAACAATACCAAATAGTGTTATTTGGCATGCAGATGCAGAGAAAAAGCTGGGTTCATGATCTTGGCTATAGGAATCACAAAGCCCAGAGCAGGTCACTCTTCTAAGCACAAGTCCAAAGGGCGGTGTTTGTTTTTCCCTTTCTTTAAAGGAAAAGAAGTATTCCAGTTACCAAAGAGGCCCAGAGATGTATGTAGGTCCACGTATTACCAGGCCATGAAGGACTGGTAATCCCTTGTCCTTGTCTAGTTGGTCTGTTTCCTGCACTGTCCTCTCAGAGGCTTGACTTTCTCTGGAACTGACACCTCCCCTTTGTCCCCTGCCAGTTCTCATTCAGGAACCAATGGGTGGCCCAACTCTATTTCATGGGCACTATGGCTGGAGACACCCTTCCACTCAGATCTGGAAGTGCTGGTAGGCCTGTGCATTCTCAAGACCAGCCAGAGGACGGCTGTGTGACCTGCTATGGGAGTGTGATGCTTCTCTCAAGAGTGACCTCTACACACAACATATATGAATGAGTGGACACATATCCAGGTTGGTTATCAGGCCATCAGAGAATCAAGAGAGTTAAGCTCCCAACTACATAGTTCTGTAGACTCAAGGGTGTGTACCTCCCGCCTTTGATGTATGGCTTCTGTGTCCTCCTCTCCCCTTGGGAGGAAGACTGTCTTTCTACCTTTTCATCTTTCCAGTTACTGCTCTTGACTAGGATGATCATGGCTGTGGTCTGTAATCCTCACTCAGATTTCTTCCTCTCTAGGGTAAGATAGCATGCTCATTCTTTGACTCTTGTTGACTCTGAAGGAAACTCTAATTGGGACTGTCCAGAGTTCATGGACTCTTTAAATTGAGTAAACTTACTTGGGAAATGGGAACAATGAGGCTATGATTAATTGAGGCTTACGATTTCCTTCCAATCAGTGGGGAGTAATTAGGGGGATTGCTTACGGGGATTCTCAACGAAGATGGTAGAGAATGTGTTTGCGAAACTCAGTTTGTGTAGGTGGGCAGTTGCTAGAAGGGTTTCTTCTTTATTATCTGCTAGATGCTTTCCTGCCCGCACCTCTCCTGGCCTGCAGGTGGAGGTCCTTCCAGACCAGAGAAGGCTAGCCTGTCTGCCTAACACTTCAGTGCCCTGTGGGCTCCAACCCCAGAGCTGCCCTGCTCCGTCTGTGAGGAGGAGGACGCTTTGCACTCTCCACTGCTTTTGTTCATCTACCGCCCCAAACATCAGTTGTATGTGGTGTGTGTGCACATGTGTGAGATCAGAGCATAACCTTGGCTTTGTCCTTTACTGTTCACCTTTTCCTTTCCTTTGGAAAGTTTTTATTGATTTATTACTTTTATGTGTGTACATGTGTAAGTGTCTTCATAGGCCAGAACATTGTGAGCTGGAGTTAGAGGTGGTCGTTAGCCACCTCTGTGAGTACTGGGAACCGGTCTTAGGTCCTCTGTAAGAACAGCAAACACTCTTGACTGCGGAGCTATTTCGCAAGTCTCCCTTCATATTGCTTGAGACAGTATCTCTCACTGCAGAGCAGGACAGGTAGGCCAGCAGCACAGTGTGCCTAAGAGGTCAATTTGTCTCTGAAGAGGTGATAGGAATATGTATTTTGTGTACTTGAATATGCAGCTAACAAAATCAAATTGTTACTTTGTTTTATGATAGCCTACTAGAAGTCTTTGCCTAAAAATTATAGGATTGTGCAGAAGTAAAACGAGTTAAAATTTTATTTAAGTTTGCCAGTTTCTGCCATCTTCTTTGTATTCTTTATCCTAGGAAGGCAAATACCTGACAGGGTTCCTTAAGGAGTAATTGGCACAGCTATGTGGTTAAAGGTTGTACTGTAGTTCCTGTTTGCTAAGAGAGAATGTTAGTTGTTAGTTTTGTTTGTTTGTTTTGCTTTTGAGACAGGGTCTTTCTAAGTGGCCCTCGCTGTCCTGGAACCCACAGATGATCTGCCTGCCTCTGCCTCCTGAGTGCTGGGATTGAAGGCATGTACCACTATAACTAGCAAGAAAGGATATTTTTTTTTATTGCCATTTCAGGTGTTTGCATGCTTTTATTGCCAGAGGCAAAATACCTATCTATGAAAGGTTCACACCTGCAGTTTCTATTGGTGTGAGCATGCCTGACTGTGACAGAAATTCCTTTTGGTGAGTGTGAGACTCTGAGATGGTTCTCAAGTGGCTACACTGTTCTCTGACCTATAAAAGCTGTAAGAAATTGTAGAGGGCTGCTAGGTCTTTTGCAAAGCATTAGCCTGGGTCCCTGCCTCCTCCTAAGCAAAGAAGAGATCACCCGTCTCTCAGAGGGCATGGCTGATCCTTTGCTGAGAGCATCCACAACATTTCTGTCTTCCCCATGCTGGTGTTACAAATGTCGTCCAACAAACCTGGCTTTCATTTATTAACCTGAGTTCTGGGGACTGAAGTTAGGTCCTCACGCTTATATGTGGATTCCCCAAGGCCAGCCATAGCCACAGACACAGATGCATATTGTCATTCTCCCACTGATCCACACAGAAGGCGCCTATTCTTGTTTCATAACCCATCCTACCTCAGTGGTTCCACCTCACTCCTGGGGTCTGGGCTGGACTCTACTCTCCCACCCAGCCACTGACCTCACCCTGACTTAGGCACATTTTAGGAAACCATGTCTATAATTCTAAAGACGTGGAGGGTATGTGTACGTGAAGGTACACACAGGGGAGAGTTCTTGGGGAACATTTATTTAAAGTAGGTTATTGTTTTGTTTTGTTTCCTGGTGAAGGGGATGGGGAAGTAGAGTTTGAGGAAAAAGGGCTGACAGGGAAAGTCAGGGCAGGCTCTCTGAGACAACTACTTCTCATTCCCAGAAAACATTGAGAAGAGAAACTGGGAAGACATGGGGGTAGATATCTAGATACATCCAATAGGGGGAAAGGGAGGGCCCAGGAGTCCTACAAAATACCCAGGCCAGTATCTGTTTAATGGAGTTCCAGCCTTGGGCTTTTCCCATCATGAATGTATACAGCTGTTACTATCCCTCTCTCTGTGGCTTGGTCTTCTGTCTTTCCTGATCCCACACATCCCAATTCTTTGTGCTGAAGGACTATTGGCATCCCTTAGATGATTACAGCCATCCCCGTTCCAATAAAACCAAGGGCCGCACACATCTAGGAAAGTGCTTCACCACTCAGTAACGTCTCCAGTCCATAGCTTATTCTTATCTAAGAATTTGGGCTGATCTTCACCCAACTCTCTTGGTAACAATCTACAAAGAGAAAAAAAAATAATTCCATGAACCTATCCCTCCCTTTATTATAAAACATAACCTGAAATGGGAGGCTGCTGAAAGCAAGCACACTTTTACATCAAATAGGTGATATGCATTTTGTATCCTCTGTTTCAGCTTAGAATATGAAACTTCCCAGCTATCATCTTTCGCCCTGAATTTATCATCAACTCCACTTCCTGTTATTGTTTCTCCAGTACTGGAGAGGAACATTTACTTTCCAGAAGTTTTCTTTTAACCTTAATGAAAACCAAACCCACAAGATCTACTTAAAAAAATAAACATCTCAGTCTGAACAGAATCTGCTTGATTATAAGAACGTTGACCTAATAATTTCATAATATTAGCATCTGTCTAATTATATCCTTGGCGGCTCCAGCCCGATCACTGGTATTTGAAATTCAGATGGTGAACTTGGACTGACCCCCCCAGCCCCCACTGGACCCAAGTAGCCTGCAGCTGATTTTGCTATGCACAGCTGAGGGAGGGTAATTTCCCATCCTGCTCTTCTGTTTGGGGGTCTATCACCTCTGGACAGCACTTACGTCTCATCTGTGAATGCGATTCCAAAGTATTCCTTTTCCTTCAGGTTAAAATGAGAGGCCACGAGGTCAAGAAGCTCCTTGGCCAAAAGCTTGGGCTAGAAGAAAAACACAAAGGGAGAAGATTAAGTCACCAGAGACTTTCACTAAATCATGCTACCATCTTGGGTTTCTAGCACATTCTCAGTGAAATATCTGAAAACACAGGCGCACTACATAAACACAAATGACTTTTATAAAATCCAAAGAGGGACTTGGTTGTGGTTCAGTTGGTAGAGTTCTTGCCTGGAATGCACAAAGTGTCATGTTTGATTCTTAGCACAGGATACAATTGGCTGTATTTCTACAGGAAGTGAAGGCAGAAGGATGAGGAGTTCAAGATTGCCTTCAGCTACATAGCAAGTTTGAGGCTAGCCTAGACTACATTACACACACACAGAGAGGGGGGGAAGGGAGAAAGGGAGGGAGGGAAGAAGAGGGAATGAAAGAGGGAGAACAAGATAAACAGGGAAAGAGAAAGACTGGAAGAGACACTAGGGCACTGCTATATAAAACAGCCAAGGCAAAGGTCCCAGGTAACAGACAGAGGTTCTATAAGATTGGCTCTGTCAACAAATGGTACTTGGTCTTTAGTGGGGCTGTTCAGCCTGGTAACTTTCTTTCTCCACCAGATGCTGTACTGACAGGAAGATGTCTTTTTAAAATTGATGTGTTTAGCAAACACAGGCAGACCCTCCTATTCTTAGGATAAAGTAACTTTCTGATAAGCCCATTGCAATCTGAAGATGCTATCAGGTCCAAATGCATTTAATATGAGTACCAGACCTTAGCAACACAGTGCTACAGGTCTGGTAAACCAAGACAAAAGGGTACAGTTAACAGCATTCAGATTTATTTTGTAACTAAGTTGCAAGTTTCTAAGCATGGGCTTGGTGGATGACAACCTTGCTTCTCTTCACTGAAAGGTTGAACAATCCTGCCACAGTGTGGCTGCTTCTGCCTGGTGATCACATGTATAACTGTGGAGCTCTGGCTTTCAGCATCATTAGAGGAAAGTGTAGCAATAACCTGACCTAGAGAAAAGATCCCTACGCAAAATTCAAAGTACAATTTTTACTGACCATCACTTTTGTACCATTGTTGAGTCCAACATCACTGAACCATGAACTGTGTCCATTTGCTGTGTGGTAGGCACTGCCCTAAGTACTTCTTATACACTTTTACCCTCATAATCCTATGAGGCTGTCTATCATACAGGGCAGAAGTGGGCCCAGAGATCAGGCAGCCATTTCTGCCTCCTCTTGCCTCTATGACTCTGGTGAAAACCACATAGATCCACATGGGTTTGAACTGGTGGTAGTACTTCCTCCCCTGCTAATTAGAGATTAATGGAAAACCCTACCTTGATGAACCAATGGCATCTAATGCTCTCTCCTTCCATTCTATTCCCAGTATGCTACAATCTGAGTCTAAGCCAGCAGGAAATTCAAAATTAGAAGTCAAAGCTTCCTTTATTAATAGGAAAAAGTCTACAAAGGGCATGCAGAGGGATGTACATGGCACTTCTCAGAATTAGGCAAATGAATTAGGAAAGATGCTGCAAGACTGAGTTCTGAAGCTTGAGCACATGCTGTGGGATGCTACAGGCACTCATGCAGCTGTTCTTCCCAGAAGATGCTGGGCTGCATGTAATTTATGGGTTGTAGTGAGGTAGTAGGCTGACTGCTTTTAAAATGTAGTGGATCATAATTTGTTCATCAGAATGACTGCCATCTCTTTGAAAGTAGCCACAGTTCATCTGTGATGCTTGCTGTTTTTAGAAGTATTTTGAGCTGGGCACTGTAGTACATACCTGTAACTCCAACACTTAGAAGGCTAAGGTAGGAGAAACAGGGATTCAAGGCTAGCCTGTGCTATACTACTATAATTTTTTTCCTACTTAGGATTATCTTTTTTACTTGCCCTGTAAGCATGTTTTAGACTTAGCATCCTTGTCAGCAAGAACTCTTCCAACACTCAGAATAGATTTTAACGTGTGTGTGTGTGTGTGTGTGTGTGTGTGTGTGTGTGTAAGTCAAAAGTCACTTGAGGTCAAGTCTTGAGGGTGGGGATAGAAGGTCACTTGAGGTCAAGTCTGCTGAGTGGAGAGAGATGAGGAGTGGAGTCTTACTGGATCATTCTGGTATTAGAAAATGAGGTGTGACTAAAGAGTCCTTACTGTGGGTTCTTGTGAGCTATGGTGAAGTAACTAACCCATTCTTGGAAAAGACATCACTGAGATTCCTCTCTCTTTGGGAATAACATTTTAAAGATATTTGCATACCCTTGCTTGGTGTGGCGAACTGAATGAGGAATGTCTCCTACAGACTGATGTGTCTGAACTCTTGGCCCATAGTTGGCAATGCTGTTCGGAATGTTATGGAACTTTCAGGAAATGGAGCCTTTCTGGAGGCACACATCACCAGAGGCAGGCTTTAGGGTTTTACCACCACCTCTGGCCTCTGTCTGCCTTCCAGTGTGTGTGTGTGTGTGTGTGTGTGTGTGTGTGTGTGTGTGTGTGTGTAAAATGTGATATCATGACTGCCAGGCCAGCCCCATGCACCCATTGTCCTTCCCACCATGCTGGACTGTACCTCCTGTAAGTCCAAATCAATTCTTTCTTCTCTAATATTTTTTTAGTTAGAGTATTTTATCACAACAGCTAAAAGGAACAAATACAGTTGAAAATGCATACATTTATCCAGGAGGAGGAAGGTACTGGTTAGCTATAGAAATGGTTGGGAGAAATTGCATGGTTGGAGTAGGAAGGGAGCCAAGGGAGGTGTGGAGGGCAGGGGACATGGTTAACAGGTGTTGGGTACTTGTGTCCTTCACCCAGTTAAGCTTCTGAAATGACAGAAAGGAACACATGGGACAACTTCAGTTGACCATGTAACATTGACATACATCTGCCCTTTAATGTCATGCCTTACAAACGACTATCTGAGGCATTGCTACCCTATCCCAGACACAGTTCTGAGAGCTTCCATACACTATGCCATTATCTGAATGACAGAGGACTGTCCATCCGCCAGTCAAGACTTAAAAGTCAGTAGATGGGGTGTTCTCAGACTCAGCAAAGCCAGTATTGGAATCAGAGTCTGGATACACCCAGTGGAATATTACTCATCTATGTGCTACATGAGTGAATACTGAAGACATGCTAACTGAAAGAGGCTGAAAAAAAAAAAAAAAAGAGTGTCATTGTCATTTCACTTGTGTAAGTAACTAAGTCCATGTGATTTCACATGCGTTATCAGGGGTTGGAAAGGATGAGTTACTGCTGAATGGTCACAGAATTTCTGCTTCAGATCCTGACAAAAGTTTGGAAATGGTGAATCTTCAATAACACTGTGCATGTAGTTAATGCCCCGAAGTAAGTGTGTGTGTGTGTGTGTGTGTGTGTGTGTGTATACATACAATGGTTAAAATGGTAAATTTTATGTTGCATAGATTTATCCCAGTTTAAAAAAAAAAAAGAGAAACAAAATATAAGCCCTAGCTTGTCTCAAAGTGGTAGCTACTTCCTGGGTAAGAGGTCAAGCACTATTTGTCTTGAAGGACCTGTCTAGGGCTATAATGCTGAGTCAGTACACTGACATTACACATTTATAGCTAGCATGAGTCTTCCTCTGAATTTCAAACCTCAGAGCTTTAGAGATGACTTGACATACTGAACAATGGTTGCTCTTTGAGAGTCTTGTAGGTACTGACTTTTGGCCCCTCTGAGATGACATGTTCCTCTGATTTCACCTGTCTCCCAAAACCTTTTTTATACTGGAAATCTTACACTGAATAACTAAACAGCTCAAGCAGCCACAGCTGTGGGGCCGAGGAGGGGAGCCTGACCCTCTCTGGTGAACTCTGCTCATACCTTTGTGGACAAATAATTGCTGAAACATGGAGAAACACCAATTGCTTTTCATGGACAGTAAGTATGACAGGCCAAAGGCAAGAAAAGCCCACCTCAGGGCACTCACAATTTAAAAACAGAGGAACCAGGGCTGGGAGACTCAGTGCCTGTAATGTTCTTGTCCCACACCATGAGGCTCTGAGTTCAGTCTCCAGAGGCAAGTTAAGAAGTGTGTGGGAGAGTGAACAGAATGCGCTACATACATGTGTGAAACTGTCAGATAACTAACTTCATAATAACAGTAAGAGTCACACTAACCAATGAGAGTTCTGCCAGGTTAACAGACCCTGACACCCTGAGATGCCCATTATACATAATGAACTAATTTCTCTCCTGTTACAATAGAAGACAGTAGCCATGAGAGAATGGAGGGGAAAAGTAGGGTTGGTGGTGCATGCTTGCAATCCAGGCCCAGGGAGGCAAAGACAGGCAGATCTCTGGGGCCCTAAGCCAGATTACTTGGTCAGCTCAGCTCTAAGTCCCTGTGAGACACTACATCTCAAAACAAACAAACAAACAACAACCCCCCAAAAAAAACAGAAGTGGAAAGGGGGTAGTTGGTAGATGGCCTGGCTTCACATACACACATACCTATGTGCACACACATGCATCTGTACACATAAACTCATACACAGAATATGATAAAAAAAATAAAAACATAGGAATGCAGTCAGTGATGGGGAAGGTGACAGAAGGTTCTAGAAGAAGGAGACATGGATGTTGCAACTCTATCTTAAATCCTCACAGAATCCCACACATGTCTTTCAAGGTGACTGGCAACAGCCCAGCTTCTGTGTGTTTTCATCTCTTAAGAGTCAGAGCAGTACCATCAGCTGAAGTCCAGGACTGCTCAGTGTCTTTACTGTTGAGACAGTGGCTTCATTTGTCTCCATAAGGCCTGGGCCACTGATGGCGTCAACATCTGGATCCCCCAATCTTGCAATGGAAGAGGATAGTCTTCTTTGATGATTGAGGAACTACAGCATTTTGGAAGTTCCTTAAACTCTTTTGGAGTGAGTTATCTGGGAAGCAGAAAGCTCTTGGCTGTTACATACTTGGAATGGATGTTTATAGAATCCTGGTGGTTGTAATTTGCCAATCACTGGTGCTGTAAACATTTGTGGATCCTTGTAGGGATCTAGCTGG